CCCAGGTGTGGGAAGGGGAAACCACGTGTTTGACCAGAACTTGAGAGAGAACTTGCACATTTTAAACTTTATTGTTATTTTCAAGGGGGAAAGGAGGCATGGAAAAGCATGGAAACTTTACCTTGTAAGCTGGCATGGGAATTTTCGTGACCAGCCTGGGGAAGGTCAGCTCCTCTAGCAGGACAGAAGGCAAATAGATGGCCTCCAGTCATGGGGCTGTGACAGGAGCAGAGCCTTGAAATAGGGCATTTGTTTTCCGACTTCAGGACTTCTTTTCCTTTCACCCTATCAACCATCATCTCCCTGCCTCCTTCCAAGATGTTCTTATTTATGTCTGTCTTTCCTGACTTCAAACTGCATGAAAATAACCCTAATATGTCGCTGGTCTAGAAATTTCTCAGATTGTGTTTTACCCTGAAACAATCTCTCTGCCAACATTACATATCCCATATTTGTACCATCCCCTTCTTCTCCAATCCATTCTGTTATCTTAAGGCTATTAGCCCTTTGGAACTTTTAATTGTTGTTATATTTTAATAGCTAAAATTGATTAAGTGCTTACTGTATGCACCAGACTAAGTGCTTTGCATGTATTATCTCATTTAATTTTGTTGACAATTATTCTAGGTTTTAAATTATTACCCCCAAGTGTTTAGTCAAGGAAATTGAGGCACAGAGAGATAAAGCAACTTGCCTAAAGCCTCACAGCTAGTAATTGGAAGAGCCTGGCTCCCAACTCAGGCAGTCTGACTCCAGAGTCCACTTGTCAATGACTGTTGAAGGGCCAGTGAGGTGCATATTTTGAGACTGTGTGAAGAGGAGCCAAATTCAAAAAAGCCTCGGGGTAAGAGAGATCAGATGACATTAGCTAGGCCCCTGAGCTATCCAGTTCCCCCTTCCCCTTTCAGCCCTCAAGCCCTTCTAACAGAAATAACAGGATTTATAAAAAGAAATGGAACCCAGTCATTGCCTAAGAGTAGCTAGTGACTGCTTAAGCAGATATCACCAAGTGGATCACCTCAGAGCGCAAAATCATGGTTTTCAAGCTAAGAAACTTCCAGAAAGTAAAACAGCAACTTTTAATGCTAAAAAATTAAAATATATTCCCATTCCTTCCCATGGGGTTTTTTGTTGTTGTTGTTTTGTTTTTTGTTTGTTTTTTTTTTTGGCTGGGAACAAACTTTATTCAGTAAGGATTTGAAGGAGGCTGTGTTTGTGAGCAATAATGCTTAACAGAACTGAGATGTTACATGGCAAGGTTACAGACAGTAGCTCAGTTGGTAGTAGTACCATGGACATAGTACCAAGGGCATGGGTTTGATACCCTAGAGGACCAGAATGCATCTCTCTGCTCTTTGGCCCTTAATAGCAGCTCCCCTCTTGCCAACCCGCATCCTTTTACTGGGAAAACAACTCCAAAGTCAGTACTTCCATCTTTGTATACAAAGAACCACATACTCATTTTGATATATAAGTTGTTAATCACATAATCTGAAGAGATTACACTTCGAGGGCATGTGTGTATTATGAAACATATAGATTCAAAATATTCTTGGTTGTTTCTTCTTTTTCATTTACACATTTAAGATTGGCAATATATACCTTAATAGACACTTATTTAAAAATTTTATTTAAACTTGTTTAAAATCTCATAAAACACTTTATTAAAATTTTCAAGCATACAAAAAAGGTCTGTCATTTACTGGTTTTCCTCTACTTTGACACTTCATATATGAAAATTACTTCTTCTCTTAGCACAAGCTTGCTGTGTACATTACTGGGCCCTGAGTGGGAATGGTGACATAACGTTATTTAGCAATGTTTTTGAAAAGAAGAGTCCCACATCTGTGATTCCAAACATTTCAGGTCTAGTATCTTCCAATATACTTGTGAGTGGCTGGATAGCCTCTCTGAAAGACCCTCAAGAAGTCCTAGTAGGAGAAGAAAACTTTTGGGAACCCCTAGGCTAAAGGACCTTCTTGAGGTTTTCTTTCTTCTTTTTGGAGACACCTTTGCAAACTGTAGGATTTCCACCACAGTTCGTAACACTCCCAGCACCATTACTTTTGATTTTTCTTACATGCCACTTCTCTGGGGACAAAGCAACAAGCTACCTAATGTTTCTCAAGCTAGAGGTCATTAAATGTGCCTTCTGACCATAGTTCGTAAAGCTTCTGTTGCTTGTCGTGGAATGCTCTTAAGCTCAGCATGATTAGAGCTATGCTTGTTTGTAAAATGAGGCCCTGGAAACCTGAGCGTAGCTGAACACGGGTCTCTTTGCTATTGAAAACCGGAATGCTACTCTAAAAAAAAGACAATTGTTTTATGAAGACAACTGAAACAGGGAAATTAAGACCAAAAGTCAAATTGATTTCTGAAGTTGGAAAGAGGCTTCCTTTTTTTTTTTTTTTTTTTTTTCTTTCTTAGTCTTTCCTATCTTTGGAGGCCATACCATCCTTTTCCAAGAATTCCCAGCCCAGCAACTTCAGGCTACCCATCCTTCCTCACCTGGCGCAGATGCACATGGGAATTTATTTACTGTGACACTAATGAAGCTTAAGCTTCAAGGCCTCTCACTTGCACTTCCAATGCCCTAGGAGTGGCCCTAGTAATTCTGTATTGCTAATTTTATATTCTTTACTTTGATGTGGGCTCCTCAAATTATAAAAGCTTCAGACTCAAGAAAACTCAAATCTGTCCCTGAATGCACGACATCTAGAGAACACAGTAAACTTGAATTATGTGTTTGTGTGTGTATAATCTCCATAAATCACTAAAGTTTGACAAAGTAGGAGTTGCAACTAGCAATCC